TGACAGCTGAAGCACAATAGGGGTTTATTACCATATCCAAAACAATGATTTTTAAAGAACCATTTACACTGCCTTTACTTTAGACTGGGTGCAATTTCATTTATTTCTCAAAATATCTTCATGGGGTATTAATTTGACTGTTGACCCAGTATCTAACAGTGATGACTTGCCATCAGTTGATTTAATCACATCTCAAAAAAAGCCAGGATACAGTCTTGGGCTAGATTCTTTATTAATGTGGTTTAAAGCTCATTCATTTGATGACACTTGCCGATGAGTTATGCAAAAAAACATCCATGTTTTTCCAATCCTGGGTCATGGTGAGCCGGAGCCTAACCCAGCACACAATGGGTGCAAGGCAGGATACACCCCGGATTCCATCAGGGGGCACCCCACCTGTAGTTGTGTTTAGATGAATGTGTGCATGAACAGGAATATTAGGCTCTCTGATGATTCCAAACCTAGTATAAAAAGCTCATCAGGGACTTTCTTGAGATTGCACTTAAAAACTTTTAAGAGCTCATAATCCCTAATTACTAAGCACATGCTTACCATATTGCCCTTGCATGTTATAAACGTGTAGAGAGGCCTGTGTTCGTCAGTAAGGCCGCACACTGAAGGAGAGCATTGTAGCTTAGTTATCTTGTGTGCTTGCTTCTGTTGTACTTTTTATCTTGATTAGCAGTTAGTGATTGTAAGTGGCTGTCTAATTTAAAAATGTATGGTTGGTATTGTCCTCTGCTTTGCTGTGGTACTGAAGTACACCAGGGACAAAGGCTTACTGATTTGGAAAGTAATATTTCATGTAAGCCTGTTTGCCATTGGGAAAGCATTGCTCAAAGCAGAGCCGTGATGTGCTTGGACTGAGAAGAGGTCTGCAGATATGCAAGACTAGTTTGTTTTTCTTAAACTTTATGAATTTATCATGTAGAGACATCAATCAGCCGTGCATGGTACAGTAAGTATTGCACAAGAGAAAAACAAGTGGTGCGCTCCAAGAGGTGAAAAACTTAAAGGAAATGTGAAACAAAAACTGACTCAAAAGAACAGAGCAGATAAGTAAAGAAAATTATTACTTAAGGAAGTACTGTATCATTTTATTGTGATGTTTCGCAATGCAGAGACAGGATTGACTTGTGGTAGTCTCATATCATTTACTCACTTCTCCAAAGGCATTCTTTTTTCATTTGAAAACAAGGTCTTCTGACATCAGTCATCATCGTCAGTCACTGAAGAATCTGCATCCCAATACAGAAACGAGCGCACCATGCCAGTCGGCTGGCAAAATATGGATCTAGAAATTCTATTCAGTCCTTCTTGTTCTAGGGCCTCGGGTTTTGAGATTCTCATAAAGTGGTTAAGCAAATCTTTCAGAGGTTTGTCAGCACACACAAAGCCGGATTGGATAGATGGCTAACGTATAAACATCTTCTCATGACCAAAGAGGAGTGGCAGGTTATTTATTTATAATGTGAAAGATCAACTCAACATTCTGCCCTTACAAACCTTTTTCTCAAAACTGTGAGATGTTTCATTTCTCTCACTCTGCAGCATATATTACACATCTGTAATCAATACCAGCAAGCCCGGTGGTGCCATCACCTTGTTTGGAGGTTTGATTATTTCCAGAAGAATAACTCTGTGTTAAGGTATGACAGTGTAGGCATTAGGTAATGCCTACAAAGCTTCCCAAATGGTGACTTAACATCAGTGCTAGCAAAGTCACTGGTAAGTGTATTCTGCTGTTTTTTTTATACTTTTGTGTTTCAGTCATCTGTTTGTCCTTTTCCTTCTATCTTTTGCTCCCACTGATTTCCATCTCACTTCCAGACTGGTTTATGGATTATTGGTATTGGGATCCATTTGCTTCCCATTCTGCCTCTGCAGTGTGGGGTGAAGAAAGGTGATCAAGTTAATCCAACAGGAACGACATCCAAAAAGTTTCACCCCCCTTGCAAATACTGTACTGTAGTTGCTCAGTAAGTTTAATCACAGTCATCTTTAATGTCATCCACTGTCAAAGTCCCAGTTTCTGTCCTCCCTGACAGAATTGTCAGTGCAGATAATTAACCTAAAAAGGTGCGGTGAAAGTGCTGCAATCACTAGGCAATAGATAATGAAAAATTATTATTGCCGAAGATGAAATTTGCTCTGCTGCTCTGCTGGAAACACATAGAGAGGCACAGATAAATGCAGAGAAGTTGCACTGTCGATAGGGCGAAGCACATTGTGAAAATGTTTTTTTTTTGTCTCTGGTAATTAATTTGAGAACTCCTTTATAAATGTTGTGCTGTAGTGTTTTAGACAGCCTCGTTTAGATTTAGCTATGTTTCCCTAATCTGTTCTGCTGTTTGTTGCCAGCATTTCCCTTGCTTTGATCCATTTCCAAGGTCAGGAGTTCAGAGCGTTATTGAAAAGTGAAGGAAATGTGTTCATTTGACTCTGGAGAGATGCATAATGATGTGCTTATAACTAGTGGTTTTTAAAAACGTACTCCACTGTACACTGCTGTAGTACTTTTAAAGAACTGATATATAAAGGGCATGATTTCCTTAGTTCTTGGTCCTGGGTTCCCAGGATTTTAATGATTCTTTAATTGGTTTGTTACTGTCCTTAATTAGACATATTCATATTTATTTTCATTCAGTGCAGAGAGAGTTTAGATATTTCAAGGTGTTCGGTAGTTTAGGAAACAGCTTTGAAATCTCCTATACTGTATTTTCAGTGCAGAAGTCTATCACATTATCCCAAAATCACATGCGAACCATTGCTTAGAAACTGCTGCTTCAAATCCAGGCTGTGCCACTGAAGCCTGAGTCTTTCAAGAGTCCCGTGTGCTTGAGAACTGTTTAGAGACCAAACTGGAGGGGGGGGGTGACTGGATGAGTTTCAGTTGGCACATCAGTGACCCCATTTATACCTGCGGGACTGTGTTATCAGCAAGGGTTGTGTCTGTCATCTGCTTGACACTAAAGCTCTTCGGATACTAAGTCAGATTGTCAGATACTAAGTGGCTGTTCCAAACTGGTACAATTGATATAAGAGGTGAACATGTTTTTATTATTTTCAACCATCAGGTTGCTAGAATTTATCAAGATTGACTTGTGTTTATCCAAAGAAACTTGCCTTTGTACCCATTTGTACAGGATGGGAATTTTAGTGGAGCAACCCTAGTGAAGGACTTCACTCAAGAGTTCAACAGCTGTGCACCACACTGGATTTTAACCCACTTCCTTTGCATAAGCGTTCAGAGACCTACCTCCATGCTATGGCATATATAACCTTTTTCTGTTGAAAACGAATTCAAATTACAGTGGATTTGCAACTGGAATAGAAATTAGTCTCTTACACCTCACACGTCATCCTGTTCAATTTTTGTAAGGAAAACAGATGTCTTTCATCAAACTTTACAAATGTCCAGGAGGCTTGTGCTGTTCTGGGGCCAATTTAGAAAAGTCTATCAGTCATCTGAAGCTCTTTTTCTTTGTTTCTTACTGCATAAAATGTTCTTTGTTCTCTTTTGTTTTAAATATTTTAATTCAGTTTTCTCTTATTGGAAAGGAATGACAAAAATGCCACCTACATTAAAACTGCAGTGACTTTTATTAGTAATCAGTGTTAATTAATGAAATGGGTCTATAGTTATAATTCTCTATTTACTTTGATATGCTTCTCAAACATTCTCAAGAGTACATTAGCAAGAGAATTAGCAGTAAACTTAGTGAAGATGGTGAATTGGAATTTCTTTATGATAAATGATTAATTAATTTATTAATTTAGAACATGCAAAATTAATCCAGCATCCATGGGGCAGAATTTGATTCAGAGGGACAAATTAGTCCGTCTTATTCGTGTTTGGAAATTCTGCATTGTAGGTTACAAACATTGTGATTTTTCAGATCTCCTTAACATAAAGTTACATCATGTTTAGTTGTGATTGTGGCCAGCCAGTCTTTGAAGGGACTGTAAAGGCTGAGAACCTCCCACTAGAGACGACAAAGGCTTCTGACGATTGTAAATTGGCTCAATGGGTGTTTTTAGGGGGTTATTATCAGTTCACATTTCCACATTGTCAGATGGGTGTTCATTAGTTACTGTATGTGTGGTCTAAATAAAGGAATGGGATTGAGGAAGCACTGAGGGAAGGATGCTCTTGAGTTTAGTAAGTACTGAGTAGGGGGCTAATCTGGAGTCTCTGAGTATAAGAGACACTAAAACTGCAATAAAGCCTTCTTATTTAAAGCATGGTATGGTGTTGATCTTGTGGGTTTTTATGTGCTCAGATACCTGGAGCCTCCTTAGTTTATTTATATTAGTAGCTAATTCAGTGGAAGATCTCAACAAGAAATTTCTTGGGATACCACAACTTGGCTGGGAAGTTTATTCCAGACATCCGGGTGAGCTCTCTGTGTAGAGACATACAGTATCTCTTATGTTGGCTCTGAACTGCACTTCATTAACAATTCTACTTGGTACTTCGGATTTTGTTCTATTGCTGAGCTTGAAGACTTCCATTGGACCGGTGCTTCACAGCAGTTTGAATAATACTGGGGTACAATACCTGTCCCATTATAGCACTTGTTCTAGACGTGAACTTCCAAGGCAGCAAAATCGGTTTTGTCACATGGTAACTTGATGTCTTTGCAAAATTGCAAGAGAGCGTCATCTAGTGTGAGAAAGTCTGGGGCCGGTGTGTCTGCATGTTCGTGTTTCATCTCAGCTATCACTGACCTAATACAGCACTTGATCAAATGAATCTGGCCAGTTTAGCAGACTCTCCTAGCTCTGCAGGCAATGCTGTTTTCAAGGGACCTAGAAATCCTGTTGACACACTGGCTGTCATGGAGCAGGATTGGAAGCCCATGATCTAGTGCATTTGTTTAAGGTTTGTGTCACCTCAACACTCTTTCATTTGACCTACTTCTTTCATTTGACCGCCACACTGGGAGGAGTGAGATCCAGCGACCAGGGCCTGACGCTGTCTCTGTTTGTCTTTTCAGGGCCCGGCTGAAGCAGATGAGAGCCCAGCCATGGGCTCTGCGGGTTCACAGCAGGCCGGCGGGCGGCACAGCTTTGTACAGGAGCACTTCCAGGCACAGTACAGGTAAGAGCCAGGAGCACTAGCGCATTGGCTTACAGGTCACTGCCGTTAATGTCCGGTATTTTACATTCAATTTGCAATTACAGGGTGGCGTGCTTATCTTGTGCCTTGACGTGTTTCCTTCCCGTTCAAACCCCTGTGTTTTACAGAAGTATCAAAAAGACACGACACAAACACAGCTAGCTCAGCTGAAGTCCTGGACACTGGACACTCCAGAACGCTTTCTGTCATGCTTTGCAACACTGTGTATCCTGGGGAAGGCCATGGCCAGCCAGACCATACAGTATATATACAGGCTGGCATGGCTGTGTGGTGGTTAATGCTCAGCACGTGGGTCCTGGGTTCAAGTCTTGACTTAGGAGACGTCTGTGTGGAGTATATGTTTTTTATCCTGTACCTCTGTGGGTGTTTTATGAATGCTCTGGTTGTCCACTATATTGCAAAGATATGCTGGCTAAGATAATTGGAGTCTCTGTATTTGGTGGGCTTTCCCTACATTGGAATAGTGTAGCTTTCAGGTTTGAAGAAGTTCAGGTAGGTACTGTAGCTGCAAAGGAACAGGTAAAGGATTATTCCATGCTGAAAAGAGACACAAAGTTTCGGCTGTGGAACCTTCCTCAGGTGAAGAAGGTGAGTCACCTGAAGAAGGCTCCACAGCTGAAATGCTGTGTCTCTTTTCTTTTCAGCATGGATCACCCGTTCCTTAGCTTTCAGGGTGTTGTCTTGTTTACGGCCTTGTGCTTCCAGGTTCAGGGTGGTGATGACCCTCACCTCCCCAGAGCTGCTTTCTGATAAGGGATGGATGACTATCTCAACACAAAAGCTGCCCACCCTCACCCTGACTTTAAGCCTGTGATCCCACGATAGACTGTGAAAGAATGTCCTCTTTAGAGATCTGGCACTATGAAATGCCATCTTCATTTAGAAACACAATGGCACTATTTCTATGATGAAGCATGTAATTCTCAAACCTCATTATAATCCTTAACGGGCTCAACAATAGGCCTTACCTCCTCTGAGGACCACTCAGCAGTCTGATTTTTCAGGCGGCCTAATCTCTCTAAAGATGGGACTCCCAGAGGTCCAGTCCTGCACAAAGGAGGCTCATTCAGGGATTTGCGGTTCTCGTCACAAAGAAAAACAAAAATGTGCTTGCCCTTTTATTTGTGACAGGTTCTTTCTCCCAGTAGTGTTCCCCGAATGCTCTTTTCTGTCTTAATCAGTCATCAAAGACTGTACTCGTGTACTGCCAAGGGTTAGGGTTTGCATACAGCTAGGTTTTATAGATTCTATAGTTAAATTTCATGGATTATAAAGTTGCACTTATTTAAAACAAATCATCATAAAATAAAAGTCCACAATAACATGCTGAAAAGCTGCCCAATGTTATCATAATTTGAATACTGACTATTCCCTCATGCAGGGTGACTTACAGTGCCTACAAACGTTTGCTTTAAGTGTAAGTACTTTGATAACTTCCAAGTACATTAAAATAAGTGCATAAAATGACAATAAAGTTTCAATATGTTATGCTGAGTGAGGATGGGGGTGCAAAGCGAGTGCTGCACAAAAACAAAGAAGGTACTCAACAGCCAACAGTAGTTAACATCTGAGCAGTAGTCTAACCCTGTTGACACTCACTGTATTTCAGAGGGTGTGCGCACTGGAATACGATTCAACTTACTATTTCCAATGTAATTAAATTGGTATCGGCTTGGCACCAGGTCTGTGGACTGTACTTTGGTTTTTGTTTGAGACAGCAGAAAGTTTGCTGCAAATACTTTTTTTAAGCAATACAATTGCTGATCCTCTGATCCTCTGATACTGATCCTCTGTTTAACACTGTCCTTTTAATCAGCTGTTAAAATGTGATGATACTGTTGGACACTTTCAGGGCTTTCTCCATTATTGACAGCATAGGAGTGAAAGATTGTCATTCCTGTTTGCGAATCTGTCTAAACTGGCAGCTTTTAGTGAGATTTGAAAGACTGTTTTTCCTTGCCTGAGAAACTCCAGCAGATTTAGGCCGATATTTGTTAATTTGAGCAAAGAAATGCTGATTCTAAATCACAGCCTAGTTTAACAAAACAGCTTTCCAATGTAGCTTGGGAAGGTCATCCAAAATTCTGACAACTTCAGACAATTAAACTGAAGGGTAAAAAATGACACAAACAAAAATGGCTCTTGTGCTTATTGAGGTGGCTTCATTTGCACAAAGAAATGTATCTTTAAATGGGTCGAAACTATATTAGACTTTATATGCATTAAATTAGGTTTCATTTTATTTTTTATTTGTGAAGGTTTTTTTTAAAGCATAGGGGGAATGAACTGCAAACCAAACACAGTAGCGCAATCTAAAAATACTTGAACTGTGCAACTATTCATCTTTAAAATCAGCATGTTGCTCAGTAGCCCTGCCACTGATCCGGTATTTTTAAATCAATTCTTCTTGAAAGCTCCGAACAATGATAATAGAGCTATCATTAGCTGTAGCCTCCTACCTGAAGTTCCTTCATTGATTCTGGGCTGTGAGTTCCAGGGAGGAGCAGCTATGAGGAGGGTTTCTGGCAGAAGCACTTGGCACCATGTGCTGAAGGTCGCAGTGCCCTGGTTAATAATCACTTTAACGTCACTCGGGTCAGATGAACACTAACCCATGAAAGGCATATTTGATTACTGAGGGAAATTAATTATAGCAACAATAAGAAGGCCCATCCTCCAGTGGTTTCATGATAAATTACTGGCATATCTGACGCAGCAACCCACCTGAACTACCATATCTATTAAAGATGACACTCTTTTTTTCTTGGTTTTATTTCATTCTTAATTAGCAACAGGTTGTCATTCAGATAAATAAAGAGAACCATCTTCACTCTCTAGCCCACTCTGATTTCTTGGCTGTTGTTGGTGCTGTTATTGTACAGTAATTTTAAATAGTTTGGAAGCCTGGATTCATCAAATAAAGATCCCTTATTTTCTGAGTTCTGCCTGTTCTGCAGTAAAATTCCCAAACACACAATTGGTCCAGTCTGGTGCTTCGCATAACCATTTATTATGGCCATGGACTGGCTGAATTTGCACATCTTATTATAGCCAGTTAAAGCCCCGGTCCCCATTGATTGGAAGAGGAAATAATATCCAGAGACGCTGTAATGGAGGCGGCCCTGTTTCCTGTTTTAAAAGTGCTCAGTCTTCAGGGACAGGCACTGCCTGGCAGCCAGTAGCCTAATTATTTCTCACTCCAATAATTACAAAGCAGGAACGTCAATAGCATCAATAATATGCCCTAATGTGAAGTGGAGTTGATTACGCTATAAGAACATAAGAAAGGCTACAAAGGGGAGGCAGCTATTTGGCCCATTTAGCTCATTTGGTAGTTAATTCATCACAGGATCTCATCCTGCCATTTCTTGGAATAAGCCAGAGATACAACATGACTGAGCAGCTTGTTCCACACTCCCACAGCCCGTTGAATAGAGAGGTGATTCATGTTCCTGGTTTGCTTCCAATACACTTCCAAGGCGTTTCCACTTGTGTCTTCTCGTGCATGTTCTATTTCGAATGCTTGGATCTGGTCCCCTCAGTCTTCTCAGGTTCCTTCGTTCTATAGTCCTAGTGGCTCACGGATTCAAGGAACTTTGTCCTGTGAAGGTGCTAGGTGAGCAAGTGATGAACGACTTAACATTCTACATGTCCAAAATCTTCTAGTTCTAGTTCAAAAAGGATGTATTATGTTGCCGTACCTGCAGAGAAAGGCACACTGAAGTTGCACAGTGCTTACAGTCTTTCTCCAGAAGCCAGAAGAAGTGGTATTCTTTAGCTAAAAAAAGACTATCACAAGTAATGCAAAACTACCGTAGAAAGGGGCTGCTAATTATTGTGTGGGGATTCCAGTCATCTTTGTTGCAGTACAGTACTTTTTTATAGTTGGAACATTAACTGGTATATGCATTCTGCTTGTTATAATTGAAATAGTTCAGAAGGTAGGGGAGAGAAGGTGTTAACTCCAGTGTCTTGCCTAAATTCCACTCTGGGCTTGTACAGTTTGGCCTCCCTAAATTTCCCTCTTAATTCATCTGGTGAGATAACATTACGTTATTTGTTTAGGAATTAAAATGACTTTCTGAAAACCAAAAGCGGAGTTTACTCCATCATCATGTTAATCCCCTTAACATCTGCATTATCAACTGCGAGCTGTCATGAACTGCAGGTGTAGAGTAACTTTATGGTTAATCTGCCTGTAACCGTGTTATGAAGTCACTGAAATGCTTCTAATTATACCTTAGAATTTCTCAGAAGAAAATCATACAGCCTGCTGTGGACTTCTGAAATGATTTGTGTGGAAGAACTGCATGCTAATTACTAGACTCAGTCAAACTTTTAGGTTTCCTCGTAATTTTCTGCTAGTTTTCTCATACAGCTGAGCTGTCTAAACAGGCACAAACCTTCTCTAATTGCTACCCAGCTGCTGAGAAGTTCTGCTATGTCTTAGTGCAGCTGAGGGGAGGTGGGAGGTTGTAACAAGACATAAAGCTCTGGATGAGTCTCTCTGAATAGGCTCAGGTTGGTAGGCTGTGTTTATCCTCCCAAATTCTGTCACACATTTAGGAATTACAGTGATGCAGAACCACTGACGGATGTATCCTGGGATGATCCTAGAAATCAGCAAAATGCATCAGCCTCTTTCGTGTTTGCCCTGCTTGTTTACTTGACTAATAACTCACAATATAATTAGAGTGTTTGGGATCTCGCTTTAACTGCAGGGTAAGACTGGCAGTAAAAGAAATTTAGCAAAGAGGGATGAGATTTTTTAATTGACCATGGAATATTTCTTTGTTTTTATTTATTTTTTTGATCCACAAATGGGATCTATCACATATCATGTGTGTATTTTGTGTGTTCTTTGAGTCAGCTGGGATAATAGCTTCATTAAAAAAAGATACTGGAGTATACATGCATGAATATTAAAGTACTTTTGATTGACTACAGGGGAAAGCTTGAGT